TATGAAAGCATTTCCCCCAAATTAGAAAATGATTCTGTTTTTATAATTTATATTACATTGTTATTATAAAAGTAAATATGCAAACTATACTATTTTATTCTAACATCTGCTTATTTTCTTTCAGTGGACACCATTCTCAACACAGATGGGGATTGGAAACTACACAACTGTGACAGAGTTCATTATTTTGGGGTTAACAGATGATACCACAGTTTGTGCCATTTTATTTATTATTTTTTTAGGAATCTATGTTGTCACTTTGATGGCCAATGTCAGCATTATGATGGTAATCAGAAGCAGCCCTCAGCTCCATACCCCAATGTACTTTTTCCTCTGCCATTTGGCCTTTGTAGACATTGGGTACTCCTCATCAGTCACCCCTGTCATGCTCATGGGCTTCCTCAGGAAAAGAATTTTTATCCCTGTTGCTGGATGTATAGCCCAGCTCTGTTTTGGGGTGACATTTGGGACAGCTGAGTGCTTCCTGCTGGCTGCCATGGCCTATGATCGCTATGTGGCCATCTGCTCACCCCTGCTGTACTCCAGGCACATGTCCCCCAGGGTCTGTATTCTCTTAGTGGGGGCTTCCTATCTGGGTGGCTGTGTGAATGCTTGGACATTCACTGGCTGTTTATTAAGTCTGCCCTTCTGTGGACCAAATAAAGTTAATCATTTTTTCTGTGACTATTCACCACTTTTGAAGCTATCTTGTTCTCATGATTTTACTTATGAAATAATTCCAGCAATCTCTTCTGGTTCCATCATTGTGGTTACTGTGTTTGTCATCGTTCTGTCTTACGTCTACATCCTCTTCTCGATACTGAAGATGCACTCTGCAGAGGGGCGGCAAAAAGCCTTCTCCACTTGCACCTCCCACCTCACTGCAGTCACCCTGTTCTATGGGACCATTACCTTCATTTATGTGATGCCCAAGTCCAGCTACTCCACTGACCAAAACAAGGTGGTGTCTGTGTTCTACATGGTGGTGATCCCCATGTTGAATCCTCTCATTTACAGTCTAAGGAACAAAGAGGTTAAAGAGGCCATGAGAAAATTGATAGCTAGAACTCACTGGTGGTCCTAAGAATTCTGACTTTAATAATAAGTACAGTAAAATGAGGACCTCTGGCAGATAAAAAGGTAAATAACACTGAATAAATTCAAGTTTATATCTATATTATTCTACACCTATAAATTTTATTGACTCATTCTCAAGAAACACTTACAGTATAAAAAAAAATGTTGATTCATTAAGGAACAGCTAGCAAACAATTTTTGCTTTACCCTTTCTCCATCCACTATTTCTTGCATCTATAAGTATAAATCTTTTCACATAAAGTTCTTTGTTCTTTGAAGGCAGACTTGGAATTACAGCTGTGGAATTCTCTGGACTCTCTCAAATGGAAATAAAAAGTAATGTAACCATTCAAGATCTCAACCTGAAGAAGTTGGTCTCTATGTTACATTGCAACCTTGGGATTGAAACCAGTGGTGCAGGTGGCTGAAAACCTCCTGTCACCCTGTGGTCTGAGTCTGACCTACAGGATTTTGTAGGTGAGTCTAATCCAGACAGCTAAGACTATATCTTTAGTCTACTATTTTAGCTATTACCTTTTACTTTTAGGACTCTGTTTCAACAAATACCCCAAAGAGTCACTTAAAAACAGTGTAGTGGAGGTTGATTGGGTTAAACTGTGTCCTGTGGAGACAAAGTAAGGACACTTTTTTCATAAATTCTTTCAATCGTGAAACTTCTGTATTGCTTATTGAATTGTTTTTTCTCTTCTATTCCTGTTGCCCCTGAAGCTGGTCTCTTAGGCATAATCTCTTGGAAAATATTGTACCAGTTCTGAAAATGGACTAATTTAAATTTTTACAATTTAAGATTTTCTGTGTTCTTATAGAACCTATTTGAGTTTACTCCTCAACTGTCTCTTCTAAATGAATTCATTTTTAAACACAAGGTATGTTTTCAAAAACCCATTTTTCTTCAATTTAAATGTAAACACCTTAATCCCAATAGGTGTAACATCTGATTTCTAAATGTAAGCATCAATAATGATTCTACTGTCTTCAACATTAAATTCCATTTCCTTAAGAATTGGAAGAAATAATACCCACTTTTCTTGTCCTCTGTATTTCAGCTTTAGCAGTAGAATTTTGAAATAGAAAGTCTGGTTGGAGTCTCCTAAATTCTACTTAAGTATTCAAGGATCTTCCAATAAAATTTAAATATCAAATTTCTTAAGTTATTTTTCTGTTCAAAGTATCTAGGTGTTTTACTCTTTCCTGAGCTAATACTAACATCAGAGTCTCATTTAGGGTCAAACACTTCGTACCCAAATAGCACAAGGCTGTCACATTGTCCTATGGGAACAATTTAGCTATCAAGAGAGCCTTTTGATATAGCCTCTTGGAGGCTTGTGCAGTAGTCAGAGAAATTATCTGACTTATGTGAATATACACTTTGAATTTGTATTTCCATTAGGATTTAGGTATGAAATAGCAAGAAATAAAATTTTTTAATCTTTATTTTTCCTTGAGATTATATACAATTATGCAGGAAAAGGTTCTTTCCACATGTAACCTTTCCAGAAGTTGACTTTAGATTGGTTGTGCTTAGATTGGTAACATGCAATTTGGAGTCATATCCACCTGTCACCCAAAACACAGTGCCTCAAAATGACTCATAAAGTAGCTGCATGTGATACATTTCAAGGCGATGACAAGGAATGAGCTGGGTGTAGCAAATGTTTGATCCATATTAAACCTTTACTTTAATCTTTCCCTATCATCTGTCATCCATTTTGCATTATCATCCCAGGCAACTGAATTTTTGCCATATTTCTCAGGATATTAAAATTGGGTAAACACATTCAACATAGTTGTGTCTTGTTCATTACAACACATCAGCTACTTACATAATTACAGAGAAGGCAGAGAGATGGATCTAACTGGGGTTAAGAGTCTGACAGTGCAGTAGGAGAAAGGGAAAAGTCAGAGGACGATGATTATGGTAGTATAGAAATCTAGTCTAGTGTGGAGGGAAGTGAGACTATGCAATGAAGTGAATAATGAAAACATGGCAGAGGCAATAGATTAGAGTTTCTCAGCTGTGAATCCAGATTCCTAGAACCCCCTCATCATGAGGTCCACATCCTCTTCAACCGCAGCACAATATCTGACTGAACTTTCATATCTTACGGTCTTCAGGATGTTGATGATCAGTGTTTTTGTCTGTGTTGGAGATAGCATGTTTATTCAGCCATCTATCCATCTACTCACCCATCCATGCAACGTACATGAATTAAGCATAAAAATGATACCAAGACATAGATGTTGTAGAAATGAAGGACTCAGTCTTTGCCTCTAAGTGATAGCTAGAGGAGCAGGAGAAAGGAAAAGAACAAAATTTAGATTAACAAGCATTAAAATCCTAATGTTTAGATGATACTATGGGGGCATGGAAGAAGAAAAAGTTATCCAGGAAAGCAGCATATGGGTCCACCTAAAGGATTCCATAGGGGTCTTGGGCCGAATATTGTCCCCTCACATCTCCAAATTCACTTTTCTTCAGGGTTCCTCTCACCAAAGGTGACTTGGATACCTCCAGTACTTACTGCTGACCTGCCAACAGAATATGTCAATTAGACCCTAGGACAGCTCCATTCCCCAGAGGTTTATCTGTCATCCACTGATAGGCTAACTCAGATGGTAAAATCTAGGTTATGCTATCAGATGAATGATAATATTTGAAAGTTTGGATTGTTGCCCTACGGAATTATAAATATATCTTCAACAAAAGCATGAGCCAGAATATATGTTCCCAGTTTCCAAGTGTGGAAGAAAGAGTGAAATTTTTCTCACTAAATAACACCATATTAGTTTTCTTTGGTGATGTAAAAACCACTATAATTTAGTGTAGAAGTACCAATTTGTTTTCTTGTAGTTCTAGATGTCAGATGCCTATATGGGTATCATTGGATTAATCAAGGAGTTGGCAGATTTGGCTCCTTCTGGAGGGTCTAGAACAGAATGCATTTCCTTAGCTTTTTGAGATTCTAGAGGCCACCCTCTAAATTCCTGGCCTTTTCCCTCTAAATTTAAAGTCAGCACGGTACATCTCATGCACCTTTTTATAGTCATATCTTCCCCTGACTGGCGCTCTTCACCTGTCCTCTTTGTTTTTTTTTTTTATAGAGACACTTGTAATTACATTGAGCCCACTTAAAAAATGTCTCTAGCCATTTGATAATAATTTTAATCTCATCTGCAACTTTAATTCCTGTTTTCCAAGTAGGCTAGTATATTCCAAGTTCATGTGATTAGTTTTTGGGTAGACATTATTATCTTTCACTAAAGAATATTTCCTTCTTTCTTTTCTCCTAGCTAAGATAATTGCATTACTAATTTTTATTAGTTTATTGAAAGGAACAGTTAATGCCTACTAGATCAATTTTGCATGTCTATATCCGATAATCTGAATAACTATCTTGAAGATAACAATATGCAATGTATTTAACAACCATAATTAATTTCTTATGATCTTGTTTTGAAATTCTGTAATCATTTTTTTATTCTCTGTAAAAGAAAAAAGAAAAGAAGCAAAGAATATTTTACTTTCCAGAAACTGGAACCCTCAGAAATACTCCTTCTAAATACTCCTATCAACTTGTCAGCAACTAGAGTTCAACCATTTTCATGTTTTGATGTAAAATATATATAAAATAAAATCCAAGAATTTTATTGTATAATTACTGGCTACTAAAAAATGCATAAGTCTCTGTAAGTCAAACACCTAGTTCTATAACCCTCAGTTGTTAAACTTCATCTAGCCATACAAAAGCATCCACTGTTCTGATTATTTTTTCACTGATTTTAGTCCTAAATTGTCACACAAATGGAATGAATCGAAAAAGTATTTTTGTAACACAACTTTAAGTTACCATGTTTTTGAAATTTATCCACATTGTGTGTGTCAACAACTTACTTCCATATTTACTAAATTATCTTCCATTGTGTGAATAAACAGGTTGTTTGATCACTCTGCAAGTGGAAACATGAGTTGTTTCTATTAGATGACTAAGCATAGAAGTGGCACTGGAGAAAAAAATAATGAAAAAGAATAGAAATTCAATACAAAAAAATAAGTGAAATCTTAAGCTGTTGCTTTTATGTACTTGACAAAATTTATGTCTTTAGCTAGACTGATAAAAAAAACCATAAGAGAACAGTAAAATTCCTAGGGTTAGAAATGAAAAAGAGGGGATTGGGTGTAATTCAAAGCACTTGTCTGTCATGTACAAAGCTCAAGATTTGATACCAGCACCAAAAGCAAAGAGGGAGGGAAAGAGAGAGGGAAGGAAGGTGGGAGGGAGGGAGAGAGAGAGGGAAGGAAGGTGGGAGGGAGGGAGAGAGAGAG